AAATTTTTTTAATCCTCTGTCAGGCTAATTATGTGTGCTTTGTTAAACAGTTGTAAACTATACATATAATAAGAATCTAAAGCTAAAAAATGCTAATTATCTTACTCATCTTTATAATTATTACTTTAAGTGCAACTTTAGAAGTGATTTATTGTTCTATTATAAGTTCAAATAAAAACCCTTCCAACTTATAATATTATTGCCTACAGGTAATTACTATATCTAAATTAGCCTAATTAATTATGCCAAATATAGTATAATATAGATAGGTAATATTTATTACTGGGACTATAATTTTGAAGTCAGTTCTCACTAATAAAAAATTCTTAAGATAAAAGGAGTTTGTTGTAATAAGTAATAATGATATCATTAAGCATTTTTGAATCATTTTATAGTTGGATATTATTATAAAAAATAGATAAATTTAAGAATGGCTTAAGGTTATTGAGGGCTATTGAGATATATTGTTTGAGATTTTTCCAAAAATTGAAGTAGTTTTCTTTGACTTGAATTGAGATTTGTCCAGCTATGTAATCAGCTATCTTTTTTTGTTTTTCAATTAGTAATGTTTTAAAGGTTCTTTTAATAGTTGCAATTGTCAAAGAGTGATTAGATATTTTTTTTTGTAAAAAAATTTAGCTTTACCTATAAGAAGAATACTAGAAAGCTTGACTCTTTCTTTATAATAAAGCTTTTCAATTATCTAAAAGCTTGATTGATTTCAGGAAATAGTTGTTTTGATTTGATAAAATGTTGTTATTTTTTTAAAGTAATTTTAAGTTAATACATTTTTTATTATAGATTCAAATTGATGCAATTTGAAATACAGTTCTGCTTCCAGGTCTAAATTTATATGCTTGCTGAAGGAAAATAAACGTTTCTTTATTTAATTGTGAAATAAATAATTTTTGTTTGAGTAGGAAATTCTTTGTAATTTGTACTCAAACTATTGAAAGATTGTTATAATATCCTTATAATCTATTTTGATATTTTTAGAACTGGATACATAATAGTTTAATATTTTGCTTATCATATTGGAAGAGAGTTACACTTGATCTATTATGGAGAAACTCATATTGGTGAAGTGTGTATGAAAGTGAACTTTGGCAGTGATTTTATTAATATCTAATATATTAATTATTATTCTGTAAATTTTTCATTTGTTGGGGCATTGATTGAGATGGATTCTAAGAGATATATATTGAAGTCTCTTGCTATAACAAATTCATGTTTTCTATAGAAGTGAAGTAATTCTTTTAGGAATAAATAAGTGATATCTTAATGAGGGATAAAGTGAAGAAGATAGAGAGCTATTATGATAATATTTATTTTAATTTAGATCTGAGGTATATAGCTTACCAGAATTTATTGTAGGCAAATATATAAATAATGTAATTTGAAAGGATTTTAAAAAGAATTATACATGAAACTTTGCTAGAAACTTCTTTGGGTATACTTGATATAATTATATTATTTGACTTTTTTGAAATTGATTTTGAAGAAGTATATTTGATAACAATACAGATTTTAATTTGCCTTTTATTGATTAAGGAATTTAATAAGTGATATAATTTCCCTGAATCATTTAATCCTTGAATATTGAAATTTGAAATTGATAATAGGTTTTTGATGTTACTACTTTTTAATAAGATGTTTGATGTGTGATGTTTGTTTGAGTTAAAAGATTTTATTTGAGTCCATTGTGATAAAAAAAAGATTTAAATTTGATGTATTAATCATAATTAATAAAATAAAGAGAGAAGAGTCATATTGGGATCAGGTAGCTCTGGTATTTCAACGAAGTTATTTGAAAGTTTTTGAAAATAAAATTATTGTTTTATAATTTTATTTTTTTATTAAAAGATTTATCTTCTTTTAGTGGATTACTTATATCTATTTTCTATTTTTTCAAGATTTTATTTTGATTAAGAGGTCCATAAAAATCAAAAGAACTGGCAGGATCTATTCTTTAGGAATTGGGCCTAGATATTTTTTTTTAATTTTCTTAATATTATTATCAAATGAAGGATTTTTTCTATTGAAATCTTCTTTTGAGAAGCCTTGTTTCTCTTCAATGACTTTGAAATTATTAAAAAGAAGTGGGCAGTCAATTAGTTTGAGAGATAGGTTTATCTATTTAGGTTCAAGGTGCAACTTGAATAAATAGAGTTGTGATAACTACTGGATAAGATTTTCAATTAGAGATTGGTATTTGATAGGTAATTCCATGCCAGTGTTCTTGCTGTAATAATGGAGTAATAATAAGAGTAGTTTTTGAGTTAGATAATCTTTTGGGAATAATTTGATGTACTTTCCAATGTCAAAGAGTATGAAGGTCTAAAGTTTGAATATAAGTGACAAAAATGGATTTGTGATAATAATTTGAATTTTTTTTGATAATTATATTAATATTATTAATATTATATTTATTGAGATAATTAGTTTGAAAGTTTTTGCTAATTCTTATATTTTTTTTAATAATTTTTTTAGCTCTTCAAATTTGATAAAGAATTAAAAAAATCTCTGTCTTTATAAGAGGATACAATAGAGTCTTTTAAATAGGAATGTAAGGAAAATCTTTAATTTTTATAAATATTTCTATAAGAGATTTTTGTGAGAAAGTAGTTTCATTGATAATTGTAATCATTTTATTAATAGAGAGTTGGTAGTCTGATGAATTTGTATTTTTAATATCTTTAGTACCAAATATAACTTTAGTTTCATTAGTCCATAAGTAAAAAGTAGATTCTTTATTACTAAAATCAATTTTCATATCTGTAACTATAGTATATCCAAGTGGGATAATCTTGTCTAATACTTTTAAGAGTACTATTATTGAAAAAATTGTCTAATCTAATATTAGAATGGGATTAATTATTTTTCTGATTTATTAGTTTTGTATTAGATGTATTGGAGGAATTTTGATTTGTAATTTTTATGATTTGATAATAGTCATCTTGTGGTATGGAAATATTTGAAGGTGTATAGAAGTTTTTCTTTTTTTGAGGAAAAAAGTGTTGGAGTTGATATTAGTGGAAATAAAGATTTGATTTCAATAATAGTAAAGTTTATAGTCTATAGTATTTTTGCTAACTTGACAAACTGTAAGTGTTCAATTATTCTCTAATAAGTGGAAAGTTGATTGATATTCCATAAATTTGTAGAGAATGGTAAGGTTATTATGAGAAAAATTTCAGCTGAAATGATAAGAAAGGGAGAAAAGACTATAGGATTTGTTTTTTGGTTTCAAATTTGTATAAATAATTTTTAGATCTAGATTTGAATCTGAGTTAAAATTGTTGATAACTGGGATTAATTAGGATATACTGTAGTATAATATTGGAGAATTGAGACTTGAAGGTGGAAAGCTAGTTTAGTTGTAAAGATAAATAAAGTTTTATTTTGTTTATAGATGACAAAAATTTTAATTTGTTATTGTCTGTTAAGACAATGTTTAAGATAAAGAATTTATTATTATTATATATAGCCTTGAAGGGACTGCTTTCAGGCTCTTTCTTATTGTTTTTGAATAAATTTTATGATTTGATAATTGATAGAAAGAGTTTTTTATAGTATATTACCTATTTTTTTTTAATTTGCAAAAATGTTATATAGTTGATATTTATTGAAAAATTATATAGCTATTTATAATATTATAAATTTTTTACATAATAATCAACTCATTATTGTATCAAAATACTCTAATTAAGGTCTAGAGGACAATATTTTACTTTTTTAAAAGATTAATATATAACATCTATCCACTAGATTCATAACCAACATTTTTTACTATAGATTGCCTATAAATCATTAATTGTTAAGTTAAGGGAAAAGGAAAAAAAGAAATTGGAAAAGGTGTCAATTAAAGGACAAGAAAGCAATCCTCTCTCAAAAGGGATCTGCATGATTGGGATAGTATTCTTGCTTCTTTTGAGCCTCAGAAGAAATTTTCTTTGACACCACTTATAGTATCAGATAAGTCAATTCAACTGATCTTTCATTTAAATGAGCACCAAATTGGAATATCTCAAAAAAAGTATTTAGACCTCAGCTTTTGTTTATTAAAACTTTGTTACTACTTGAGAAGTTTAGAAAAGAGATAGGAACTTATAATTTATATTATCTATCTCTTAGTCCTTTAGTATTATGGATGTCTTCCTTAAGGGACTTGGGTTTTTGGAGGGTAAACATTTCTGGAACATTCTTTTCAATCATCAATAATGACATTAAAACACATAAGTATAACAATAGAAGATTGTTTATATTTCAAAAACTAATATATTTTATGTCAGCCAATCACCTTTAGTGAGAATTTGTGCTACCCAAAATTTAAGGTCAAACTGAGGTAGGCAAAATTCTCCAGAAAACCATGAAAGTGAAAGCTTTAAGAGGATACAGACAGTCAAAAAGGGAGAAAATAGGTACTTTTACTACAGAAAACCTTTATACACCTTTCATTTCAAAGGTTAGAAAGACCTTCAAGTATTTCACAATCAGTTCTTCTTTCTTTGAGAACTTTCTTGCCATTAGTATTATCAGAAGTCATGTAGGTAATGTGATTTATGTATAACAGTCTAGAACCTAAAAATCCAAAGGTATGGAATGAAAGATTAGTGTTGTGAAGTAAGAAACTATGGATTAAGGCTTGGGTACTGATAAGGGAACTTTATGTGTCTGACAAAGTATGGAAAGTTTATCAAAGTTTAGGGAAAGCATAGCCTATTGTAAAGTAGATAGTCCAATGTTAGTTAGAAAGTATATATAGTTTACCAGATTTAATTAATAGGTTCACACTGCTGGCTTCCTCTTTTGTCATTGGATTCTACTTTCGAAAAACAATATGATTCCAAGCTTCCTACACCAATGAGAGAGGTCACCGATAAATTAGATCCTTATTTAAATTCATATCTTTGCTAGTTTCACTGATATATGACATTAAGAAACTTTTATATTGTATTTGACATTACAGGAAAAAATAGAATTTTCATTAAATTTATGGAATGATGAGTAAGTTATTATAAATTAAATAAATAAATAGATACGTTATTTGCTGTCTTTCTTCACGAATAGCCTATAATAATTTATTAGATTCTAACAAATGGTGTGTATTCATTAATCATATATAATTCAGGATTTCGAACCCATTTTACCATTTCTTACCATTAACCATTATAGTTAATTATGCAAACACATTGTAATAAATCTTTAATAGAACGATTTGATTGATGGTTTAGAAGCCCCTTTTTACATTTTCCATGGCATATCACTCCCTTAATACCAGTGGAGTTTTCCTCCATCGTAATCAATATAGCTATTAGTATGATTCAAATTATATGAAATCAGACTTAAAAACGTTTTATCATTGAGACCTAAAATTTTTTTATCATTGGGATAATCATTGAATTCTATACTCTAGTGGCTAATTATTCAGCCTTTGTTTATAATATCTCCAATCTCTTTGCATAATCCTTTCTATTCCAATACGTATCATTTTTTTGTTTATCACATTCGTGATCCTTCATTAAATTTATCGCTTCAATTTTTTCATAATATCTAGGTAATTATTTTCGAAGGTGGACAGGAAGTTTTCGGGTCCCAGAATAACTACCCCGAAAATTTATACGTATATGTATTCTGAAAGAGCTCTATAAAATAGTACCTTTCCAAGGCACGAGCCCGTTCTACATTATTATTGTTGCTATATAAGTATTAAATTATACCTCATCAGGCAATGTATCCTCCGCTTTCAATTCACGTCGAGCCGAGCACGCGACAAGTCTAAAAGAGAATAGTTGGCCGTTAATATTCAGTCTATACGATTTATAAAAAGATGCTTGATTAATAATAAGGCGAATTACTTACCAATATTTCCTCGTCTCTTATCACAATATCTTTCTGGTATCTCAGTTTAATTTTTTTTTTCTTTCGGCTTTTCGAGTCTTATTCGATTATTCAGATCTCGTGCTTCATTGAGATCTTGTCGAGGAATCATAGGAACAACCAATCCATTTACATTCGCTCAATTTCTGCCTCCAGATCACTATATATTTAAGAAAAATCCCTTAAATGATGAAAGAAGGTACAGTGGACAAAGTAAACGATACTATGCCGGATCCCTCTCGTGACTGGGAGATTTCCATGGAGAAGGAGACGCGAAGAGAATACTACAATCTGTCCTGGCCCTAGCGGAATTATGATCCGGAGTTGTGGAAAACAAAGTTCACCACCCTCGAAATCTGATTAATAGATGCATCGCCACCTTTTGCTGTGTTCATATGAAAATAATATTTGTTTATGGCGTCTGTTGCTTATGTTACAGCCATTTAATTATCAATTTGCACAATAAAACTCCCGAATATCTATAGCAGGTTGAAGTTTTCTTCACCGCAGTCTCGGGTATTCTTCGGATTGGTTCCCTCATTCTTAATTAACGGCCAAAGAAATCCATGAACATTGTTTCTTATCGGAGGCCACAAGGTGAGGTGACTGTCACTTGTAGACGATAAATCAACCTTGCTAATACAGTAAGTAATATTGGTATCAGAAAATCGAGGATATTGCGGAATAATTAGTTACCGAGTCAAATTTCATAGATATCATCTCAACGTTAAGATGGCGATTGTGCAGAAACAAATTGGCAACTGTCCTATAAGAGGGAAAGAGATTTAATTGTGCTGATAATATTGTATTGTGATTTGGGGCTGTGACGGCTAGGCTACCGATTTGAGGTGTGTTTGTGCATTATATATTAAGTATCATGGACATTATTTAAAAATCGAGGGGTTATCAAATCAATCACAAGCCATGAGAGCAAAGCCTCATAGGCTATGAAGACATCTGAGCTCCATTATAAATCCAACCTAAACGCCATAATTCTTTGAAATCTAGTAAAAATGGAAAGCGTTCTCAAGGAAACTATTGAAACATATATTTTCAATGATTTTCATCATGATGAATCACCATTTGTCGTCAAGAACAAGTATGACATGGTCAATATAAGAACGCTAACTTGTGAACATTTGAGTCAAGAACCAAATCAAGACAATCGTGATAAGATTTTAGATAGAATGTCGAGAATATTTGAAATATATATCATCAACGCTATCGACAATACAAACCATAATGACGATATTCATGAAAATGAAAATCGTATAATCTCCTCTTTATTAATGGATGTAGGCCGGTTAGCAAAGCTTTACGTTGCATTCTTTACTGAGATTATTCGCTCTAGAGACCATGGGATGATTGATTTGAGACCGTACAAATTATCTTCTATCAATACGTCATTATTGAATGCCGGAATATTTTCTAGACCTGGAAATCAAGTTAGATTATCTCGAATAATCAATCAATTTGATTTTTTAAATGGCACTGAATTTAAAAATGAAATTGAAAAAAGACTTGGGAGTGGGATTACATTTAATATCATGATCAATGCCATGGCATTTAACTTGACTCCTTTTGGTACCATGCCTACAACATTCGACAAGCATTCATTAGATAGTGATTTGTCATTTGTTCAACTGATTTATCGAAATCTGGGAGGAGATGATACGAAAAAACAGAGAATTGTCAGTTGGCTTGATCCTTTTACTCTACCGAGTTTGAACGAAATGCACAGAAATACCATCAGATTTATTGCACTAGATGATCGTGAACTCTCATTCAAGTATGAAAACGGTACTGTGACGATCACCAAACTTTATATACATCCAAATTGGATCGAAACTTTGTGGAATATTGTCATGCTTGAAGTTAGATCAAAGTGTGAACCAATCGTAGGCACTATCGCAAACTTTTATTCAGGAATAATCAAACGTGAAGAAGATTTTAACCTTGCATACCAACTTGGCATTATTTACGGTGGGCCGATGAATTTTACGAATTTTCGCGAAATTATGTACAAGATTTCTGAATTAAGTCATTATAATTCTACCTCCGATGCTTCGTCGCATGTTGAAAAACTTGTATGAAAGGTGAAGGCGTTGCAGAATGATGATCTTTTACAACTGTATATAATATTAGGTGAAAATGTGTGGGTAAGGCTTATCAATATTCTTGCTATCGTCATCTTTGTTCTTACTGTTTTACAAATTGTGATATCAGTTCTATCGCTAGTACAAACTTATGAACAAAATAAATAATATGTATCTAAAGATTATTCTTCAACCTTACTGTACGTTTATTCGATGTTTCATCAATTGCGAAGGAAGATACTATGTGTGGTATGGGTATGCAGATATAGTCCAACTTTTTCAAGGTTCCAAACTAGGACGGAAAAAATCTATCTGCCGGCAATTTCAAGCAAAATGAAAGAGTTTAGACTACCCGTCCCACTTGTCCTAGCTGTCCTAGTAAAATTTGAGATTTCTTATATTTTTTCTTTTTTATTATAGGTATACATAGTATATGAGTAATTCTTTTTGAAAGTGTCAAAAATGCTATTATGATTTTTGGAAGGTGAGAGGTTAGGGTCCATAATTTTAAAGTATCAATTTGTATCTAATTATATTGTGCATTTTGGTACATGCGTATAAGAAATAATTTTATATTACAAGTTTGCATATATTGTTACTTCCAAAAGTTTGAGTCTACTTACTATATTTTTATTATAAATATTAATTTTGAAAATTTTAAGTCCATAATAATACAAAAAAAAATTATAAAATTCATATATATTATACCTTAATGATAGTTTTATCTATTATATTTTTTCCAAAAAAATTTTTGTTTAATTTTTAAAATATTATTATTGATAAAAAATTTTCTTTATCAAATTTTTACTTTTGGAAGATTTTGATTGGCTGTTATCATAAATAGTACAATAATTAATAAAAAAAAAAAAAATAAAGATATTTGACAATAATAAAATTTTTAATGTATTAAAAATTTTTTTTAAAAAAATATTGGAGTATAAAAACATAATATATGTAAATTTTATAATTTTTGATTATATAATTAATGATTTAAAAATTTTCAAAGTTGAAATTTATAAAATTTATAATAAAAACATAGTGAGTGGACTCAAAGTTTTGAAAGCAACTGTACGTACAGTATAATATCGTACAAATTGACTACATACTGTATACAGTAAATCCTAGAAACAATGTTATTTTGTGGATTTCGATATTTCTCTATTTATTAAAATTAAAAATACACTCAAAACAATTCATGGACATAATTATAGTAACTATCCCAGAATTTGTGCAGGATATTTGCCAAACTTTCACGTTATTATCCTCATTATCTCTCACTTGACCGGTCATTCTCTTCATGGTGAAGGTCTTATTAATTACATACAGTACCTGTTTTCAAATAATTTGAGGTTAATTCGAGGTGATTTTCCCATAATTGCGTCTCGTTAACTTTTCTCTTACAGAATCAAGTCAAAAAAGAATTTTATTCCTTATCTCTCAAATACTATAACTAATAATTACGTATAGCTTTTTTGAATAGAGTATATCAAACTTACGTAATTTCTTGATATTTAAATGGCATCAAATCAATAATTTGATAAATATTTAAATATAATTGGTGCGAATAAAAAGAAAACGAAAATGAAATTAAGCCATGATTGTGGAATAAAAACTAAAAGTCGTCAAGATATTCAAATTCAGAATCCTCGGGCTGCGGAAGATCGTTAAAATTAAGAAGACGACTTGTATAAACGGCCGATGAGTGTTTCTCAATACTGTTGGATAAAGAAATTGGCGCATTGCTCTCATTTTCTTTAATCTGCCTGTAGAGTTCGGAATTTTCCCAATTCTTGTAACTCTTCCATAATCTTAATATACCGCGTAGTTCATAAGAGTTTATGCGATAAAGGGGATCGGCACCCAAACATTTTCGCATCAATTCAACTATTAAAGCAGGCGTATTTCTGTGAATTCTAGGCCGTTTTCCGTGGCAAACTTCAACCGCAAGATTTTGATCGTGTGGAATATTGTAGAATGGAGAAATGCCAGAAATTACTTCAGATATAACAATTCCGAATGCATAAACATCAGCTGCTTCTGTATATTCATCACCACGTAAAACTTCGGGCGATACATATGGAAGAACGCCATATACTTTTTGGTCTTCATCTTCACTTTTACTATATTCCGTGACTGGTTTAGATAGCCCCAAATCGGTTATGTAAAATGTTTTTTCTATAATACTAGACAAAAGAATATTTCCGCTATGAAAATCTCGGTGGACTAATTTGGCTTTGTGCATTTGATATAATCCTTCCGCAATTCGACTTAGGCTGGTTAATTTTTCTTCCCATGACATATTTTGGAATTCAGGCAAACTCTTTCTCAGACTACCATGTTCCATTAATTGCATCACCATCATGAAATCGTTTGTTGTGTCATCTTGCGTGATCCCATAGCATCTGGCAACACGAGAATATTCTTCATTACATACAAGGTTGTTTTTTATCTAAATTATGCACATTTATTTCAATGTGACAAATAAATTTTTTTTAAAAAAAAAAAATGTTCACAGTTATTGAAAATTAAAATCACCTCGTTTAGGAACTCGTTGGTAATGTTATTAGAATTGTCTAGATGCTTTAATGCAACCTTGGTAATTCCTTTTCTTTTCCACTGGTCAGCTTTTGAATTCCAATAAAGGATATATCCCTCGGTCCATTTAGCTGAATAAACCTTTCCAAAACCACCTATGCCTATATGCTTCTCGTCAACCTTGAATTTTGAATATGGAATCCATTCAAGTATTTTGTCATAGCTAACTGCATTAATCTGAATATCCCTTAAAAACTCGTCAACGATTATATTTCCACTTTTACAATTGACAAATTCTTTTTCAAAGTGGGATGAATTGCATGACTGGCACCATTCGAAAGATGTCATTCGGTTTTTACATTTATTGCACATACCTGTAGTTTATGAAATGACAGTTAAAGAATTTTTCGTGAGATTTGCAAAAAAATTTAGAAATAAGAAAGTTAAATACCATCTATAGTACGTATTTAGAATATTGATATAGTTAAGCAATCTTCATGAGAATTAGTGAAAATATTTGAAAATATGCTTATGGAACTTACTATCTGTATTACAAAGAATAAAGTATAGTCAAAGCACTTTTAATAGGAATCTGCAAAAAAAGTCTAAAAGTTGATTGCAGAACTTACCATCTACAGTGTAAAGAGTAACAATACGTATATTTAAAGCATTTTTCTTTGATTATTTGAAATATAAATATGCTGGCGAGAACTCACCCACTATTGATCAACAATAGAAAATACAATACGACACTTTCGTAAGAATTCACGAAAAAAATAAAAATAAAAAATATACAAGTGAAACCTACCATCTGTAATGTCAAGAATAAAATTAAGTTTAAAACATTTTTCGTAAGAATTTGTGAACAAACATAGAAAATATATTTGTGAAAACATACCCACTAAGTACAGGTCGACAGTCAAAATATATTTAAATCATTTTTGTAAGAATTTAAGTAAAAAAGAAAAGAAACTTTGCACGTGGAAACTTACGTTCTGTCAGTCAAAAATTGATAAAATTATTAAAGCGCCTTTTAAAAATTCGAAAGACAAATTTAGAGAATATCTTTGGAAACTTTACCAGCTAGTATAGTTAATGCACTTTTTATGAGAACTGCAAAATAGCTTAAAAAATATGGCGTAAAAAATTACCAGCTATAGGTCGAAAATCAATGTTAAATCTCTTTGAGAATCTACAAAATAATTACGTAGAAATAAACTTGTAAATAATTACCTACTACGGGATCGAAAATCAATAATATACGGGATACGTAAGGCAATTTCGTAAGAATTCGTAAAAAGATTAATAAATATCCTTATAAAACATACAAGCTACAATGTCGATAATAATTAAAACTTTTTCATAAGGATTTGTAAACAAATTAGAAAATATGCAAGCGAAAACTTACTATCTGTAATATCATTAATAATAATACAATTAAAGCACTTTCGCAAGAATCCGTAGAAAACATGTTTATAAAATCTTACCCACTACACAACAATCGATTACATAGTCAAAGCACTTTTTGTAAGAATTTGTAAAAAAAAAAATTTTAAAAATATGCATGAAAACTTACTATCTGTAATATCCAAGATAATCAATTTAGTAGGAATTTGGAAAACAAATTAAGAAAATATGTTCATAAAGACTTACACTCTAAGAAAACCGACAATAAATGATACAGTTAAATAACTTTCGCAGGGGTTTACGAGAAAAAATATGCTTTCGAAGCTTACCCTCTATAATTCAACAATAAATAATGCATTTAAAGCGCGTTTCGCAAGAATATTCAAAACTAACTTAGGAACTGTGTTTTTAAAAACTTACTGGCTTATAGTTCAATAATCGATAACATAGTTAAAACCATTAGCAAAACAAATCAAAGAATCAAGTCCTAAAAACTTACCGGCTATACATCAAATATAGTTAAAGTACCTATCATAGGAATTATCGAAGTAATCTTAAAATACGCATATAAATACTTACAGGCTATAAGGCAGATAATAAATAATGTGTTCAATGCACTTATATTAAAAAATAATAATAATAATAACTGTTGAACCTTACAATCTATAATATCAAGAATTATAATATAGTTAGAGCATTAAAAATTTACAAAAGAAATTTAGAAATATAGAACTACCTCCTATACGGTCAAATTTGATTATATTTAGATATATTTGGTGATAATTTATCTTAAAAATATTTCGTAAATTTACCCCCTTCAAGTTTGACAAACAAATAGTATAGTCAATACACTTTTTGCATAATTGTAAACCAATATTAGAAAATGTTCTTGTAAAGCTTACATTCTATAAAGTCGATAATGTATATTACGTATAATTATCTCATTTCATAAATTTGAAAAAAAAAATTAGAAAACGTGTTAAAAACTTACTATCTGCAATGTGAAGAACGATATGCTCAATACAATTTTCATAAGAATTTACGAAGAAATTCGG